TTTAAACATCCCCAAATCACACATCCACTTCTTGACCCATTTTGGGGTATAAAGTCAACAGCATTAATTATAAAATACTCTGTGGTAAAATGGAACACTATTGCAGCTGAGATAGAGAAGTTTGGTTACTATTAAAAAAAAAACCCACAGAAAATGTTAGCTGACATACCATACAAACTGGTGAAAAGGCAACAATCCATACAAATAAGCCAGTTTTAACAAAAAGATACTTTTTTTTTCACTAATCTGTGACTAATCTTTCACTCAAACCTTGCAAGTAGAGATGTCACAATACTCAAATATTTAGGTAGGAGCTTTACCCAGTTAAATGCCATTTTGTTGCTAATATAATAGATAAAATGAAAACTAGCAGTTATTTGCTAATTGCATAAATGCAGTACACTCTGCATTAGCCCATGCCTCACTAACAAGCTATAAAACACAAGAAATAGGCAGAAATCTAAGCATAATCTTTATACCACTAAGCAAGAATTGTCCAATTTTCTTTTCTTCTGTTCCTAATCACTTATTTGTAGTTAATGTAAAATTCCAACCGGAAGTACCCAATTTGAGTTAAAATTTTACATCACAACTTGATCTAATCTATATATTATTTACAAAACTGAATACATAGAGCATACCTAAGAGCCAACTCTGGACACACGTTTCTCCAAGTTATTGATAACCTCGCCTCCGTGGCAATGGAGCCGGAAGAGGCCATCAAAGACTAGTAGAAACACACCATCCATCTAGAGCAAGTCATTGAATGTTCTGTTTACGCAACACCAGTTTTGCAGTTGTAGAACTTTTGGCGTGTTTTAATTTTAGGTGCCATTACAATGACACGCTGCCTTAACAGCACAGCTTCAAGGTGAGGTGGGTGTCGGGAAAGAAGCAGGAGGGCAGAGAGATCATGCTCGGAGTGGCCAGATGTTGCCACGGTTAAGGGACAAACAGGGGGCACCATCACAGGGGCAGGCGGGGTGGTGGAGGAACACGAAGTCTGAGACCGGCCATATACAGTGGTGACGTCCAAGTGCGCTTCCACGGCGCCGCTGGGCGGACAGGGAGGGAGGGTCAGGAGACACTGCCATCCGAGTCTAACTACACAGAAGGTGGCGCCCTGTCTGCAGCTTCCTTCTGCTCAGACCTCACCACTGTAAATGCCTGGGTGAAAGGCACCGTCTCACACAGGGACAGCACTTGTTTGCAGATCTGTCTCTCGTGCTCTCTCTCGCTCTCTCTCTCACACACACACACACACACACACACACGCACGCACGTGCACGCGCACAGGACATAATGAAGAGTTTGAGGGGAAAAACAATGAATCATTCTGTTGACCTAGCCGGGTTTTCAACCTGGTGGTATTTTGGTGGGGGGTGACTCCATTATCAGGGCCCCAGATTTGACTGCATCTGGTGTTGTATAAATCCACTGTGACATCCCTAGTCTTACACTAAACCACTGGAATAAAGGAAAAGGCTTGTCAAAATCTCACATGTTCTGCTCATTCTGTCATTTTATTACCCAATTATCCGTTACATTTTCCAATCACTTTACATAACCAACCATGTTCATCGCTGTCACACTATTGTAAACCACATCAGCAAGTTAATACATAAAGCTTTGCATTTCAAAAAACTAGACACTTTAGTAACAATATTACAAAGGTTTTAGCTTCAAAAATAACTGAAAATGAAAAAAATAAACTTTTAAAGAATTAGCATCATAAAATTAATTTATTCCAAGTAAAAATACAAAATAATATTATGACATTGACCAGATATGAAAGTCCCTCCCAGAAACAACTCTATTAATGATTGAGAAAGCACTCCTTAAAGAAAATACGAAATAAAATGAAAAATATGTAAATATGTTTAATTTTTTTCTTAGCAAAAAATCTTTCTAAAAATAACAATGAAAATTTGTCTCAGTACAAAGGCTACATTACTATTGAAAAAATACCAGCATGAAGAAAAGGTACATATTTGACAGTAGAAAAATGATTTCAGTGAATCACAATGTCTAAAGTTTGCAATGAAAATAAATCTGCAATAAAGATTTATGCCTTTTTTCTTTTCTTTTTTTTTTCTATTTTTTATACAAACAGTACAAACAGTATTGCACATAACAACAAATAGTCGAGGTTAGGTTATAGCCTTCAAAAAATCGACTAGTTCAAGTGTCACATCAAGGAAAGGCCACAGCAGGACCTGTGATACGCAGGGGCTTCCCAGTCAAGTTGCAGGTCAGAACACCTCTGTGTTTTAAAAAATAATTTTTTTTGAAGGACCCTCTCTTTTAATATAACATTAACAACTTGGGGGGCACATTTATTTACAAAACAAAAGGGAACATGTTATAATTTAATAAACTAAAAAAGTTCTCTTTAAAAAAATACAAACAGAAGAACTCTTTCACAATCCTGGTCAGTCGTGCACAATCAATGCTTGATTATAAATATACAAATGAAGGGAAAGTAGTTTCCACCATCTATCCACAAACTTTCAGCACCAAAGGGAGTTTATTCTCTGTAACCTATTCTCGGTGACCATGTTCTCACCTTCCCGTCAGCTTCCCGCTGCACAAGCTTCCAGCTTTTTTTTTTTTTTTTTTTAAATCTCAGTGTTGTTTTAGTACATGAAAGAGGGGTGCTTCTTCAAAAAGTTTTGCTTCTTTCACATAATTAGGTAGATTTCTGTAGGTTAGATATGATCTTTAATATTATAGTTATAAAGCTCTAACTTCTTCATTTTCAAAAAACACAAATAAGCATGAAAAAAATAAAGTTACCATCTGTTAAATCATTTTTCTTGCAGAATTAAATTAATATATATTTTTCTGAATAAACTTACTTAGAAAATATCATTTTCTTTCCTATATTTCAAAATTGAGGTATTGCAAAAGATCATGTCAGTCAGAAAGCATGCCTTTTTCCTTAAAAACAAACAAACAAAAAAATCTTCAGCCAACTTTTGAAAACTGTCTAGAATACAAAAAGTAGTAGTGCATAACAAAATTTCTTGTACAGATGAAAAAAAACCACAAACATAGAAAAAAACCCAAACAAACAGAAAACCACAGCTGGGCTGGAAAAAAGCAATTATTACCAAAAAGCCCAGAGGTAACTTCAAAAGGGGAGAATTCTAATACGCATTTTTAATCCAGTAAAAAACTATTTTGTTTTTCCTTTTTGAAAACAAACTATAGTTTGAAAGCTGGTAATTGCAACTAAACACTGGAGAAACAAAACAAAACAAAACAAAACCAAGCCATATTAACTTAAGAGACAGGACAAGGACATCACAGCACATAAAAACACAGCGACTTAAATCTATTCTGCAGTGTCATATCCAGTCAGATTGTCCCCAGAACTCCAAAACATAGGAAGATTTAAAAAAAAAAAAAGATTTTACATAGTCTCACAATCATTGTGTGTGTTTATATATTACCATCTGCAGCCCGAGAGTGAATGCTAAAAAAATGTCCACGGTAGTACTAGCAGGTCTTAGTTCTATTCAAGCTTTACAGGATAAATCCAGGGAATTAAGTAGTTATTTTCTCACCCAGACAACCAGCCCTGCCCAGGCCATCTTACTGTGGATAGACATTTCTTTAGCATCGGCATCACACAACTTTCTTAAAATGTGCCTAGTTTGTCAATCTGACAACTTATCTCTATATACTGTATATATTCCTAGTGTTTGTAAGCTAAGATGAGCTCTTTGGTTTTCTGGACAAGGTCTGAAGCTATGTAAAATGGTGCAAGCACTAGGAGGTTGTAACTAAGAGCTCATGTGTTAGTTAATAATATACCAGTTATGAACTGTCAAGTTCGTTAATGTCTGACACAGAGGCTTTAAACAGTTAAGTTTGATCACAGTTAGACATAATCACTTTACTATATAAAATAAATTGCACAATATATAACAGAGCACCGCAAAGTACTTCATCTACCGTCCACAAATTTGCTTTAAGAATATCCTACACCTAGGTTTTATATTGGTTGTAATATAGGTCATTCTGTTATGGGCTCTTCCTAGTTCAGAAGCATTCCATTTATTGAGGCATGCCTTCCTCCAGTCAATTACCAATTCTTTGAGTGAAAAGAAAAACCTCTTTTAAAAAAATCAGTATTTTATAGCTTATATAGATTCTTAATTTGTGCATTGTGGGAAGGTTTTATACTAGACATTGGATATAAAATTTATTGCATGCAGCAACCTGATTAAGTAAACATGCAGTCAGAAATAGTGACCTTCCGTTGAAGCGTTCTGTAGTCTATTCTGATCTCCTTTCGGCAGCTGATTCTATCTAAATCACAAACGTGTGTTGTTGGGTTTTTTTTAAATTGATACCTTAGCCTGAAGAGAGTATTATGGTATTAATAATACCATCTTAATAGCAGCAAAAGCTATTGCAGCATAAATTTACATAACACTAAAAGGTCTAACCAAAATCCTCAGCAAAACAAAATCAAACATGAAGGAAAAATAAAGATTCAGCTTATGAGGTATCCTTACATGTCAAAATAGAAAACTAAAGGCCTATTTTCATGAAGGGTTACCCTTACTCTAAATGACCCCAACTAATGATTGCTGAATTGTTGTGAAGTTTTTGCTACATCTGCCACCTACTCACGAGTATTGCCTTTGGTAAGTCTTTTCCTAGGGGCGACTCTCTAGTTTCTGAAAATAAGTGCATGCTCCTGTTCAAAAACAACTGGAACAACAACAACAACACAACAACAACACAACAACAACATACAACAGCAAAAAAAAAAAAAAAAAATCACAGACATCAACCTGATGGCCGCTGATGAGAATGGCAGTCTACGAGTGACAAATCAGGGGTGAGAAATTAAGGTACCAAGCAGACAAAGGTGTGAATCAAAGTGCAAATCAGTACCGTTATACACTCTGCAATTCTGCATTATACTGGACGCTGAGTTCAGTAATATGACTGTAAATAATAGTAATAATAAAAAGACCCATTTCTTCTTTAAAAATCGAGAACGAATGCACAGATTTCCAGAACACTGTAAGCCCTGAGGCAGTGCCCTCTCTTTTCCCTCCTTGTTATCTACTCCAGTACTTGTGGCTGGGTCTGCCCTGGGCTCAGCTCCAGCGGAACGGGACGTGCCGAGGGCGATCGCCTCCCTCCTTCACCAGCGGTTTGTGGAACTCCCGCCCGGCGCGGGAGTGTATGCTCGCCCAGCAGTACTCGCAGTAATACTGCAGACAGGTGACGTTGGCACAGAAGAACGGGGCAAACTTCCCACCACAGCGTGTGCCCTGGCACTCATCACACATCTGATCATCCAGCACATATGGCTTCACTTCCACCTGGACCCAAAGAGGAAAGACAGAAAAAACTGTTTAGCAAAGCTTCCTCACGTTTCTTCCTTTGAGACTGTACAACACAACTTAATGACATGTGTCAGTCAGACAAAGGAGTGCAAATCAGTGCTCTGAACTCAGTAGCTCTCAGTAGCTGAGACTCTGGGCTGTGAAACTGCTCAATTTACAGCTTGTGTGATCACAGGCAAATTCTTTTTTTTTTTTTTTTTTATGTTTTATTTATTTTTTGAGACAGGCAGAGACAGAGCACGAGGCAGGGAGGGGCAGAGAGACAGGCAGATACAGAATCGGAAGCAGGCTCTGAGCTGTCAGCACAGAGCCCAATATGGGGCTTGAACCCACAAACATGAGATCATGACCTGAGCCGAAGTCGGAGGCTTAACCGACTGAGCCATCCAGGCGCCCCAATCACAGGCAAATTCTTAACTGCTCTCTGTGCTTTTGTGTGCTCTGTGTATCTGTAAAGTGGGCATACTTCACACACACACTCACTCACTCACTCATTTGTGTGTCTGTAAAATGGGTACAACGTTTGCCTCCCAGGGTACTGGTGAAGATTAAGAGAGGTAGTATATAGGGGCACCTGGGTGGCTCAGTTGGTTAAACGTCTGATTTTGGCTCAGGTCACAATCTCATGGTTCAGGGGTTTGAGCCCCGTGTCAGGCTCTGTGCTGACAGCTCAGAGCCTGGAGCCTGCTTCGAATTCTGTGTCTCCCTCTCTCTCTGCCCCTCCCCTGCTCACACTCTGTCTCTCTCAAAAATAAACATTTAAAAAACAGTAAAAATAAATTTAAAAAAATAAGAGCCGTAGTGTATGCAAAAGCACAAGCTGAATCCCAAAGGCCAGGCAGCACCCGGCCATATGGGACGAGGGAGGGCAGGTCAGGGGGAGGAGCCAGCAGGGACAAGGCCCATAAGCCCTCGAAGGCAGGGCCCAGAGTTGGGGACTGGCTGACGGGAGCCAGGCAAGAGGGGAGAAGTCACATTGGCTAGCAGGGCAGGCTGAGCTGTGATACCACAGGGAGGCTCTGGGCCTCAGTGTTTTATTGACAGGCTTCCAGAAGTCCAATATCCCAGTACCGTGTACAGCAGACGAGGGGAAAGTGGAGGGGGCCAGTGAAATGTTAGCTACAATAACAATTCAGCTTTTTCCTTTTTTGGACTTTATTGCTTTCCTCTCCCCCCAAAACCGGAAGCTTCAACAGAGAAGAGCTTTTCATCACAGCCATTCAGGGCATGTTTTTTAATTCACACGAAGCGGCTGCTGTGTACGTGAGAACCAGAAGCAAGGGAGAACAAAGTTACTGGAGTCTTCCCCAGGCCCCCTTCCTAGAATCTCAGACAACGAACATCATTCACCTTTTTATCTCGGATGTTAGATATCGCCAGAAGGTGGGGAGTCTGTGATCGGGCCCCCTCCCACACAGCCCTCTGGGGCCATTCTGGGGAAGAGTGACCGCTGTGGCCACAGAGACAAGGACCCATCATGGCTTTGTGATGGGGGCTAACTGCCTGGCGATTCAAGCTGTCTCTAGGTGGAGCCAGGAGGTTCTAGCAGGGCACAAGGCAGGTGCCGGAGAAGGACGGCAGGGTGCAGGGAAAGGGGGCTGACCTAGGATTCGACACTCTGGTTTCCTGGTGCCCCTCCCCTTTGGAGAGTCGTCTGCTGGCCTCCTCTAGCCACGAGAGCCAGTGCGGGGGCCCGTCGGCCGGCCAGACAGACACTCCTTGGAAGATCCACCTGAGAAGACCTGTTTCAGCTCCTGGTGACTCAGGGAGAAATGTCTTCACTCTGGCTCTGGTTCCCTCCCTCCAGTTTCCCCCTCCTCAACCTGACAAGTTAGTGAAGGGGCTTCTGAAAAATCTCTTGCATTGATCTCTCTGCATCATAATTAAAACTGTGGTGGCTTTGGGTTCACCTGCCTGGGCTCGGATCTAGGTCATATTAGTAGCTATGCAAGTTTAGACAAGTTTCTCTTAGGCAAGGCCATTCAGAGCCTGTTTCCTCATCACTGGGGGAGAAGAATGCACGCTTGATAGGGTTCCTACGAAGATTAATGAGTTAAATAACACAAAGCACGCAGAAAAGTCCTGGCACACCCTGAGCATGAAGCCTGAGTCTCAGTCCTGCTGTGTCCCCTCTATTCTTGGCCGTCCCACCTCATACCGATGGCCTCTACACTGGCCACCAGGCTCCAGGCCTGCCCTGGCTCAATCCTCCTAGGAACATGCTGATACTTCAATTAATCCATTTCCACAAGGTGCCTCTCCTGGTCACAAGCCATTCAAATTCTCCACTGCAGGGCGCCTGGGTGTCTCAGCTGGTTAAGCATCTAACTCTGGATTTCAGCTCAGGTCATGATCTCACGGTCTGTGACTTGGAGCCCCTCACTGGGCTGTGTGCTGGCAATGTGGAGCCTGCTTGGGATTCTGTCTCTCCCTCTCTCTCTTCTAAATAAATAAACTCAAAAATATTTTTTTAATTAAAAAATATTATCAAAAAGTCGCTTTGCGCTAGACTGGAATCTCCCTAATTGCTCTTTCCATATTTGTGTGTATTATAAAAGGCTACTCTCTTTCTTGCAGAGAACAATCCTCTGCCCATTTTTAAATTGTACTGTCTTTTTGTTGTTGAGTTGTAAGAGTTCTTTATATATACTAGATACGAGACTTTTATTAGACATATGATTTGCAAATATTTTCTATTTTGTAAGCTGTTTTACTTTCTTGACAAGGTCCTTTGATGCCAAAAGTTTTTAATTTTGATGAAGTTCAATGTACCTATTTTTTATTTTGTTGTTCCTCCCTTTGATGTCATATTTAAGAATCCACTGCCAATCCAAGGTCATAAAAATTTAGCCCTGTTTCCTTCTAAGACTTTTACGGTTTCAGCTTCTGTATTTAGGTCAATTTTTAGTAAATTTTGTATTTAGTGTGAGACCAGGGTCCAACTTCATTTTTTTGCATGAGGATATCCAATTGCCCCAGCACCATTTGTTAAAGAGACTTTTCTTTACCCATGAATGGTACTGGCAACCTTGTCAAAAATCAATTATAGTTCCAGCCTTCCTTAACTATTTCAGTCCCACAGGGATCTACTCCTTTCTTCTGTTTTTTAAGTTTTTAATGTTTATTTTTGAGAGACAGAGAGAGAGAGAGAAAAGAGAGGAGGAGGGGCGGGGGGGTGGGGTGGGGCACAGAATCCGAAGCAGGCTCCAGGCTCTGTGCTGACAGCTCAGAGTTGAACTCACAAACTGGGGAGATCATGACCTGAGTCAAAGGGGATGCTTAACCAACTGAGCCACCCAAGTGCCCCCTACTCCTTCCTCCTTTGAACTTAACACTGCATATTGCTCCTCTGGCATTTCCTATCTATAGTCCTGCCTTGGTCGGCATCTCTCCTGAGCTTCAAGCAACTTGAGGACAGAGTCCTGGAGCAAGACAGGGCAGAGGCAGGTCCAGGGAGGAAGGTGCCCTACAGAGACTGTAGACTTGTGGGGGAGCGGAGCTATTGGCTTCTAAGAGTTTATCTAATCTGGCCTGATCTCCCTGCATCTGAATGCCAAGAAGGAGTCAGGATGGTGGAATAAATCCCCTCTGCCCTGAGGCTCGAGGCCTCCCAGTGGAGGCAGGACACTCCACCTGCTTTTCCACCACCAGGCCCTGAGCACGGGACAACTTTGCTTCTACCACCGCATAGACACCTATACTCAGGGTGATCCAGCAACCAGATGTGAGCCCCAATAAGCCTAGGTCAGAGACCAACAGCAATCACACTCAGCAAAAGACAGCTGCTGGAGGAGAAAGATAATAGCCATTTATCATACATACAAATATAAAAAGAGCACATAAAGAGATTCAAGTCTAGCACAAAGGATGTCGACACTCTGGTAACATATTCTTTAAAAAAGGTTACTTTTGATTATGTAGTTATGTGGGTTTCCCCCTCCTCTGTTTTTTTTTAAGAGCTTAATTTTTTTAAATTGAGGTTAAAGTCATCAAAAATTAACCATTTTAAAGTGAACAAGCCAGGGGCATTTAATAATTCACAATGTTGGGTAACTACTACCTCCATCTAGTTCCAAAACACTTTCGTCCCCCAAAAGGAAACCTCTTACTCCCAATTGTGTGTTCTAAAGAACTCCTGTTTTATAAAGATACATACTGAATTGTTTAACTGAATTACTGCATGGTGAAAATACATGATCTGGGATCTGCTTCAAAATAACCTGGGGTGAGGATGAGAAAGTAGACAGAGATGCAGATGAAACAAGATTGGTCAAAAGTTGGTAACTTTTGAAACTGGATGATAGGAATACTGTATGTTGACAACTGTAACTGGATGATGGGGTTCATTAAAATATTCTCCATACTTTTTTATGATGATGAAGTTAAAACATCTAAACCATAATTTTTTGGCTAAGTTATCAGCTGAGCTGAAGAGAGGATAACCACTGCTGAGGCTGTTTAGTGGCCTAGAAGATCAAGTGGTAGGCATATTTCAAAGCTTTAAGAAAAAAGTAATTTCAAAAAGTAAAAGAACAAAGATGAGAAATTTTAGAATCGATTCAAGAGAACCTAAAAGACAAATAACGAAAGTTCCAGAAGAAGGAATAATAAAGGGGAAAGTTAATAAGCTGACAAGAGCCCTGAAATTGCATATCAAAAATACTACCAGGTCCCATCTGGACTGATGAGAAGAAATATATATACCGGGGCGCTTGGGTGGCTTAGTCGGTTAAGTGTCCGACTTTCGCTTAGGTCATGATCTCACGGTTCGTGGGTTCGAGCCCCACGTCGGGCTCTGTGCTGACTGCCAGCTCAGAGCCTGGAGCTTGTTTCAGTCTGTGACTCCCTCTCTCTCTGACCCTCCCCTGCTCACGCTGTCTCTCTCTCTCCTAGAAATTAAAAAAAAAAAAAAAAGTATATATATATATATATATACCACCAGGCAGATCCTGCTAAAATTTGTAGCTAAAGTTTTA